GGATAGCATTTGAATTCAGTATTAAGCTTTATTCTTTTAACTGTTTAAAGCGATTTAATCGCAGTTTACTCAAATATATAAAATGCTTCCTACCTGAAGTTTAAACTCGGTACACTGAAAATATGAATTTGTGATAAGAAATACTAAACAAGAGGGGGAAAAATGTTAGTTCAGAATGCCAAGCACTCCTGTACTCTCAGGTGCTGCCTTTTGTGTGGACTATGAGTACAAAGAACTCTCTATTACAAGAAATAGAGTAGCTTCTTCATAAAAAGAAATTGACATTTATTAGCCTTGCCGCTCACTTGATGACTCTGCATTTCTTGCTGGCAGCTGTGCAAGGATAATAGAAGTAGAAAGAGTTCATTACCGCAGTAATGAAATTTCAACTACTGTTTAGATAAGGTTGCATATGGTGCTTACATTACTTTCATAACGTTGTCACAAAGCCTTACCAAAGGCTTACTTCTGTACTGATACTGTGCATTACAGAAAACATTATAATTTTATACCTACATTTTCATGCATACTAAATGTAATATTTAATAGCAAATTGGAAATAAGTTAGATTAAAAAAAACTGAGGTGCTGGCTGAATTTTTGTAATCATGTTCCTTTTTTTTGCAAAGAGCTACAGATGTAAAAAACAAAACCCAAGCTAAAAATCTCTTTATATTGTAGGCCAGATTAACAGCATCCTTAGGCATTTAGGCTACCCCTCGCCCAAATGCATGGCTACCATTTCTTTCATATATTATTGTAGTGCCCTGGAATACCTCAGTACTTTTCAGTTAACTGTAGTGTACATGGATGGAAAGACACAGATATGCTTATTTATACATTATTTTCCTGGCAAAATACTTATGCTGCATGATAGTGTTTTTTTTTCTTTTCCCCATCAGTGCATAGCATTGTTAGAAACAGATTCAACTTTTGGACTTCTGGTGAGGATTCATGGTGAACTAGACATCCCTGAAGGCGCAGGGACAGCATTGCAGTGGAGATCAATGGCCTGACAGTGAATTCTGGCCGTCAAAATCTCTCCGGAAAAAGGAGAGATTGTGAGATTGCCCACGTGTATTCTGGACAGCTGATCCTTGTGAGTAGACTGCAGGAACCGAGGTTTTTGTGGTCAGCTCATGAGTTGAGCAGCTGGGAGTTGAGGGATTCCAACCAAGCTCATAGCCGTAACATAGCCTATATGGACACAAAGTTCAGCTGAGCCTCATTTCTTAGTCACTTTTGGAAATTGCTTCTTAAGTGCTTTTTAGCTATTAGGAACCTTCGCAACAGCAAGTTATATAGCACTGGGTAAGTCTCCTCTAATCCTCAGTGAAAGAAGTTTTAAATATAGGTTTAAGGATTTTTTTAAAATAAACTTTTCTTTTGGAATAAACAGCAAAGTCATTTCTTTATATATTTCTTTTCTTTTTCTTTCCCATATTCTTATTTTTTCTTTCTTTTCTATTTTTCTATTTTTCCTTTTTTTCTGCTCTCTCTCTCTCTCTCTCTCTCTATATATATATATATATATATAGTCTGTATTAGTTCTTATCTTTTTAATTGTAATGTTTAATAAAATTATTATAAAAAAAGAAACAGATTCAGCTTTTGAATTCAATTTTTCTTGAATGTCAATTAAGAGCACAGGAACTGTGCTAGAAAAAACAAGACTGGAAACTAAAGTTTTTATAAGTATGCTTCCTGAATTTTCCAATAGCAAGATAATAAAATTCTATAAATATCTCCAAAGCCATTGCTAAAGTATCTATACACAGTAAGTTAGTCAGGTTACAAGCTATAAATCATTTTACATAAGAAACATATGAGATAGTCCATGCTGTACATAAAAATCTCTAGTAAGTGCTTTATGGAGAACATCAAAACTTACAATGTTGCCTAGAAAGTTTGTGTTAATATTCTCTGGAAGAGCACACACTGGGGAATCTAGTTTGCCACTTTTCTTCCCTTGTAACTATGTCCTTTATTTCAGAAAACTGTCCTTCTGATTTATTTATTTTTCTTGGTTTTCCTCTTGAATTTTCCTTTGTAAAGTTATAAACATAAACAATTAATTTTTTTTATCCTTATAAACCTCTTTCAGATTTGCCCCTTTTTCAGGTTTATCCTTTATTTTTTTCAAGAAAATATGGTCACTGTACTTGTAACAGATGTACAATAACCACTATACAATGAATACCTTCTAGGAAAACTATATCTTGGCCAACAAAAAGAACTATGGGCACACCTGAATATTCTAATTCTTCATGATAACTAGCAGATGAATTATTAAAATTTGGAATTGAATTCTATAGGAAATGTCTAGAGTTTGATTCCTAACTCTAACTCCAAAGTACACTTGAAGGGTTATTTCAGTATCCCTTCATACCCCAACATCCTGATACAGGGAGCCACCAAACTGTATTTGGTGAGGTAGCACAACACTTACATAAATCTATGATTATCCAAACTGTGGAAATGAAGAATCCAGAGAATCCTGCACCTTAGTTTCATAAATTAAAAAGCTGAGGTGCATAATTTTTGAAGATAGTGAAATACCATATCCCCTCTTTCATGATCTGCATGTGGGATGGCACAGCTGTAAGCACTAGTAACTTGTGTGCTTTTTTATTATTAACAAATAGTGTCAGTTTGTTGAATTAGTAATTAAACAACAATTTTGCACTTCCTCAGCCTCATATATTCTATATAAAACCTACAACAGAAGACTGTTCTTTTGTTGTATTCTATGGCAGACCATTGCACTGAAGAACAAGTCTTGTCTCTTTCAGTAACTGCTTTCCTTAATTCAGGCTGCATTTAAAAAAAAAAAAAAATGAAGAAGTGTGGCATACTGCATATTCAAAAGGTGTCTGTGATTGATTGACTGATTATGTTCCATCAAGTTGTTTTTGACTCCTAGCAGCCAAAGGTATCTGTACTTATGTTTTAATAGCATATTTCTGAGAATACAAAGGAGAATCTCCATAATCCAGGACTAGGTATCTGAATTTCAAATATGTTCCTCTTCTTGGCCCATATCAATGTATTTTCTATCTATCAAAATCATAGGCAATCTGTAGTCCCAATAATGCTTTTTTTAAAAGCCCTGGACTGCTGAAATTTAGCAACAAAGTCATGAAAACTGGCAGAACAATTTTTTTGCAGTAAGGATTAATGCTTTAAATCTTAAACCTTAAAACACAAGATAATTATAATCTTATGTTCTGAATATAAGAGATAATCATGTATTATTCAAAGCATTTCCCTCTAAAAGGGAGAAACTCAGAAAACTGCAGTTTTCCCAATTTATATGACATTACACCACTGAATGTTCTCTTCTGCTCAGAAAGACAACTAGATTTCCAATAAATTTCCAACTTCTCAATGTATCTCTGAAGATCTGAGTTCCTAATACAGATCAGTTGACACTAAACTCTTTTCCATCATTGTACAATATGAAATGTTATACCCATTCTGTTTCTTATTTAACCTTTCTTTGACCCATGAAAATGCATTATCTTTATTGGCACAAGTATGTAGATTTGAGAATTTTTGGCAGGAGATTTTGGCAAAGATTTCCTGAAAATTGAAGTACAGTTACAAATAGATGCTTACACATGCTTACTGTCCCCCTTAGAATCCAGATATTTCTTATGAGACATGGTTTCACTTTTCTAAACTCATGCATTGCCAAATATGTCATACTTTATTGTGTATCTGAAGAATTTGATCTTAATAAAAATCTGCCTAGGACTGAACTCCCTTGGGAGAAACAGATCCTTTTCTTAAAAGTCCAGGAAATTTACATTTACTATGGACCCCTGAAAGGAATCCAAATCAGACTTGACTGGAGGTACATGTTGTAAGTAGGTAGCCATAAGAATGCAATAAAAAATAACTGGACTTGAGAATGTTAACATTTCTTTTTTCACTATAGTATACCCCTTCTCTCCATTAGTTTAGAAAGAAAAGTTGTATCCTCCTGGAAGCATACTCTGTTGTATATTGTTACCATTACTTCACTTCCAATACACACCTCAAAAAAAACATGAAAGCACAGAGACATATAATACTTGATCAAAGGTAAGGAAATACAACTGATGCTTTGTCACCATGAACAGCACGTTAAAATCAGAAAGCAGTAATGATGTCCAAAACTAAATGGAATCCTTACAAAGATGTAAAAGGAGAAATTTCCAGCCCTGCCCCAAGACCCTGAAAAAGGACAAAGCTACATCATGAGTAACATCACCCAAAATCAAATGCAATGGGAAAACATTGCAACCAATTGGGCCAATAAGAAAACTCTGGTTACTGTTCCTTGCAATGCCAAACTACAGGTTTTTTTCAAAAGTGAAGGGCCTATTGTTCCTTGTAGTATGTACTCTGAATATGTATTTCTTGATTTAGGATTTTAACCTGTCTTTCATTCAGGAGCAAAAGGCAGGTTATGTTGTGCTCCATCCTGTTATTTTTAAGCCTGTGCAGTTAAGTCAGGATGACAGAGAGTGACTTTCCCAATTTTTCCCAGCGAACTTCCCTGGCTAAGGAAGGACTAGAACCAGGGTTTTCTTCCTCCTAGTCCAACACTTTAACCACAACATCACATCTTCCATGGCCTGCAAATGGGGTGGCACATTTGACACAGCACTATATACACTAGTGGATCCTTTGAAATTTCAGTCTTCCAACTAGCCCTGCTAGAATTCCAGCAATTTCTCCCTCTACCATCCTGCAGTCAATTGATACTGTAAATATAGATTGCATAGGCAGCAGAAGACAAAATATTGAGTCATCAATTTCTCACTGGTCTGACCTCATTACAGACACTCACAAGTCATACCACTTTTGAACTCCCTTTACAGCTGTGAATTTACATCCCTGTGTGCAAAATCCAGGAAACCTATATTACCATTGATATTGCTGATTAGCAATATCTTTTCTGATTTTAAGCATTTTTACTACATCAAACACATAACCAGTAAAATAAATACTTACCACTAAATCCCAGTTATTTTGTTCAAGTAAGGTGATAGCCTCATCAATATTTTCTATTCCAGTACATGCCTAAAATAATGAAGGAGAAAGGTTCAGCTGAAAAGATCTGCCAAAAAATATTAATTTGTTAAAAATCCAACAGGTTAAAGCCACATTCAGCAAGTTCACAGCCGCTTGATATCTAGACATCTGAAACATAAACATAGATTGAATGTGGTAGTTTAGATTCTATTGTATGAATTCAAGCAATTTAGATATCTGCTGGTAAACCAAGAATGATTATCGAACTTGTAGCTCATCTTATTAATCGAATGGCTACCTTTAATATCATTGGGCTACAATACTATAGCTGAATGTTTACACAACTCTTCCTATATGCAAAACAGTTAACAATCGTCAGGCAACCGTCTTTCAAAGAAAGCTTGTTGTTCCCATTTTATTATGAGGAAAAGATCTCTATCCAGTGATATTCAGCAAGTTCCTTATACGGTGGTTGCCAAATATATATTCAGTTAGGAGGTATGACCCATCATAACTTATCCCATAAACATAGTTATAACCATTATGAAGTATCTTCCTTGAAAGAAAGATACATACATATTCTTTAATAATCAGTAAAAAGTAAGAGAATATAGCTCTGCAACTGAGTGTTAACTCTGCAAGAGGTGCTAGGTTCAGCTTTTGATATACCCAAGTAAAAGTACCAGCTAAAAGTATTTTTAACTGTTTTCATATTTATCTTCTCACACACAAGGCATTCGAGGCAAAATATAAAAACAGTGAAGGAGGAAATCACAGGGCTGGAAAGGCTATCTTCCTAGATATTTTGAAGAACTCTGCAATCCAGAAAATTGTACTTAGCTATCTTAGTCCAAGTCAAACTAGATATGAAAGAAAATACATCCTTGCATTATTCTGCATATATTTTTAATGTGCATGTAACAAAGCAGGGTTTAGTAATCACTGGGATTATAGCAGATTTGAATACAAAACTTTTTCATTATCTGCAGCAGTAAGGAAACTCTTCACCTTAAAGTGGCATTTACTTTTTTCGGAGAATGTTCATTAGCTTGTAAAAATAATATCTGCATGTTAAGCACAAAGGAACATATACCAGCACATTTAGATTTGTTACATATTTCAGATGCACATCTAAAGCTATACAGTTGGATTTCACTCCTACCAGTGGAAAGGAACAAGTTGATTTGTACTTTTTTTTCTTTCCCAACAGCTACTTGTATTTTCCAAATACCTACTGTGAAGGGCTGAAAGATTCCCCAAAGCAAACTTCTCTTATGAGAGAAAGGACTCAAGTGGCTACAAGAGAGAGAAAGGAATTAGCAAAAATTGTTCCTTTTTCCATTGTTGGTATTGTTTTGGTGAATCAAACATCTTCCACAGATAGCAAGCCTTCTGTTTGCAAATCACGAAGGCAAACAGTAACTAAAGCAAAAATTAAAACCAGATTTCATATTATATTTCCTACCTAGTAACCCCAGTTTCTCTTGAATCTTTCTTTTTTCATATGCAAAACACACTTTCTCCCTGATCCACATATAAAAGCAGACTTGTGCCTGCAGTTCAGTGAAAAACCCAGGTGGGATACAGCTACAGTTTTGTTTCTAAATTCCACCCCAATTTTTGGAACATTTTACACCATCAAAATCTAAGAGAGGGAGAGGGAGAGAGAGAGAGAGAGAGAGAGAGAGAGAAAGAACTTTACATTAATCTTCATGCATTCAGAGTGCATCAGTTCTCATGCATTCAGATTGCATCAGTATGTTAGATGTACTTCCTAATGGGATATGAGCATGCTTGGATAAAACTGGGTTTGGGAGTAAAACTGGGCTTTGGTTGCACTTATAGCATACTGGGCAAAATGTGCTAATACTGACCAGTATTATGTCCTTACTGGGAATGCTCTGTGTGGCACTGGTATACAACTAAGGCTGGTAAACTAATCTACTCTTTATGTTATTAAAAAGCACTGCAGGTAATCCTCACTTAACTATTCATTCAGTGACCATTCAAAGTTCTGACAGTGCTGAACAAATGGTAGTTATGACCAGTCCTCGAAGTTACAGCTGTCGCAGTGGCAATGCGGTCACGTGATCAAAATTCAGGCACTTGGCAGCCCACCCACATTTACGACCACAGCATGCCCTTCAACTCCCCCATCTCCACTTTTTGGCTACCCTGCACTCTGCCCATGCTGCCTACCCTTGCCACCCCCAGCTGATCTTTGCCATTTTCTTCCTCCCACTGTTGACGAGGCGCATCCAGCCGAGGCAGCTGCTGGCCCTTCATGACACCTCACGACACCTCTGCAAGGCCTTTGCAAGGCCTCTGTGATGCCTCGCAAAGGGACACAGCTGCCTCGGCCGGGCACAACTTATCAGCAGTGGGAGGAAGAAGACAGCGAAGGTCAGCTGGGGGTGGCGGGGACAACAGGGGTAAGTGGCGGTGGCAGAGTGGAAGGCATCCAAAAAGACAGAGATGAGAGGAGATGGGGGGGAGTTGAAGCAGAGGTGAACACAGCAGGGTGGCAGAGCCTCCTCTGCTGAAAGGAGTTCGCCAAGCCTGGCCAGGGAGGAAACAGGGAGACAGAGCCGGCAGTTCATACAGGGCAGGAGAAGCATGAGGTCATCGTCTAACAACCACAACTGGGACTACTGGAACTACTGTTGCTAAGCAATGCGGTCATGTGATGTTTTGCCTAATGACCACTTCACTTAGTGATGGCAAATCCAGTCCCAATTAGGGTTGCTAAGCAAGGACTACCTGCATGTGAAAGGCTCAGTTGACCAAAGTCATGATGTGAAACTAAAGAAAAGGGGAAGGATATAATCACTCAGAATAAAAGTAGCTTAATCTTATGAAGTAGAGTTGTTTACATGCAGAGAAATGAAGATGTAACTTTAATTACAATTGAAAAAGCTAAAATGTATGTAACGAAGTATGAAAATGGACATGGAAGAAAAGTTTAAAAAAATGAAAGCGGAAGTAGAATGATTGTAGGAAAACAAAGTGCGAGTTTCACATCACTAAGTATTTGAAGACAGAGTAATCTCTCAACTGAATGAGTGGAAAGTGGACCTAAAGAAAGATAATATAAAAGACAGTGAAAAGAATTACATTACAGAGTAGCAGATGTTAGAAGTATAGTTATAAATCTCCAGTCTTCAAAAATTCAAACTAGCACTCAGAACTAGGTAACAGCAAAAGCATAAAGGACCCAATACTACTAGATTAGCTATTTTATTGCACAGAACAAAATTGCATTTACACAAAACATCTGCCTCATGCAAAGCACAAAACAAGCCACATACACAAATCAGTCTCAGGGTTTAAATCTTAAGTCTTTTCCTCCTGCCCTTTCAGGTCAGGAGATTGTCAACTACTCCTTTCCAGCCTTGACTTTGGAATCTGTGTTTATGTAATAATTCTGTCTGGTCTTGCTGGTTTCTCATTTGGCAGCTTCAGCTCTTACACAGAGTGCCATAGAAACATATGGAATATACTAATGGGAAATATGAAGAAGGATATTTGGTGGAACAGTTTGTGAAAGGGAAAGAGTTTGTGGATCAGAAAAAATGCATATAAGAGAATGATTGCGGCAAAAACAAGGACAGTAGAAAGTTAGAATACAGAGAGGAAAAGATAGTTGCAAAGAATATTATCAAAGAGAGCAGAAAATGTTTAAGACTAAAAAACAGAGAGAAAACACAAAGCAATTTTGATGGAAGTTAGTGTTTTTGAAGTTGGTGAATAGGGTTAAACAAGAAGCTTTCAGCAAAATTAACGAAACTGAATAAAAATGATGAAATCTTTTGGAAAGAAACTAAAGTGAAAAAATATTGGAAGGAGTCTATTAGAGATTTGCATAGAAACAATAATAACATGTGAAAGTGTAGAATTAAAGCAAATGCTATTAATATTAATGTCCAAGAAAGAAATGATGAAAAGGAAATCATAAATACTGGGAGAACATTGAAAAAATGTAATGCTGCAGATCTAGATGGTATAACTGGAGAAATATTAAAAAATAGATGTTGTTTGTTTATGGAGTAGCTCTGCAACTAGTTTTACACGTGTGTGAACGCTGAAACAACACTATCGCTGTTTCCCTAAAGGAGGATTAGTTTGCTAATTATGTCTCAGAAGATATATGCCAACATTCTCATAGAAAGATTTTTTAAAATTTATTTTATTCATTACATCTATTTATATAGTCACCCATCTTGCAAAGGAAACTTTGAATAACAATATTAAAAAATGACACAACAACAACACAATGGCACCTGAGGCAATCTATTCCCAAGAATACATGAAGTATCAATAAGCAAAATTTGGGAAATTCAGCAGGTCACTGAGGAAATGCATGAATGTGGGAAAGGAAATTTATTGTTCATTTATTGGATTATGGAAAACCTATATTAAAGTAAGTTTGAATTAATGACTATTTTGCACAAATACAAAGATTGGCTGCTGAATATGATAAGGGTGCTATATGACGGAAGTAAAGCATGGGTGAGAATAAATGGAATGCTTAGTAAATGGTTCAATACTGTTTAAGAAATGTTTATGGTGACATTAGAGGTGTCTTCAGTAGGGACATGAATGTGTCTACTTTTATATCCAAATCATATCACTGTGTTGGCTGAGAACCTGAATGATTTGCAGTGAACAGTTGCTAAAAAGGCAGCAACTATTAAGAAATAAATCCAAGCGAGGGACTGTTTTTCTCACCAAGACACCAAGCATATTCTAGAATTGATATGTGTTGAGTCTCCAAGGTCCTTACACCATTTATTAAAGAAATACAGATCCTTCCAATACAGACCACAATCTGATTTTAATAAAATGACATCAAGGTGAAAAGTCTTTCTTAAATGATGTTGAATGATATTGTTACCTCAAGAAAGCATACTACAGGAATGCAAAGAGGAACTTAAAATCTTTTTTAAAATAAACAGAACACCAGGAATGTCAGAGACAACCATCTGGGAGAAAAGTAAACCCTATATCAGAGGAATTTTTATAAAGCTTAAGGCAAAACAGAAAAAAGA